GGCAGTACTTACCACACATTTTACAAGATTAGATGTTTGTCAGTGGTGCTGAGGATCTGCAAATCATTCGCCATCGTCCTCAGTCAGGTCAGTAAGCAAGTTTATGCTTGTTATTCAGCTTAGCTACAGCGACAGCGGGATGCCTTTGTCCATAGGGATTTCCTGGCATCAAAAGTTACTTCTATCATATGAGTCTGTTTTAGACTTTCTGTACGAGAGCGCCCTTCGGCTTCGAGTATGAATGAAACATACAGCGCATGAGAGTGTTCAGCGCTCGGTGATGTTCACATAGTTTTGGATAAGAATACCGTATCCAAAACGACGAATATATTGTCTCTTTTAATTTAAATCTAGATTTATTCACATTGGCCCTTGAAAACCTCTACGGGAACACACTTGCCCGAGAAAAAGTGCATGGGAAAGAGTTCGGGAGCCGCGGGTTGCCGACCCCTGGTATAACCAGTTAGATATATGAAGTATAACGTAAGATGTGTTACCTGACTGCAGCGTATCTTAAACTTCTGCAGGCATTGTAAAACAGTGTTGCTCCTTCTGGCCACAAACTCTTCCTCCTTCTTATTCAGAGAGTGTCCGAATCTCACCTCACCACTGCAGCCGAGATACAGACAGAGCAGTGCTGAATTTAACTTCACCTATTTGATATGAATATTCTAGATCTGAATAGTTTATTCTACAATTCATTTTGATAATGTATTCTCCGAATTATCCAGTTTGTCATAGATGTTAATTGTGTAAGTGATGCAGCACAGTTCGTTATCAAATCATTTTAGGAATCTGTGCAGAATTACCTTTCCTGGGGTTTGGATGCACTCATCTATAAAACAATAGAGTTGACATTTAAGAAAATCTTCTGAAAATCATTTGATAAACTCATGAGTTCTTGTTTTCCCTATGTCATATAATCAGAAATGTTTCCTGAGCAACAAATCAACATAGGCAAGGCAAGGCAAGGCAAGTTTATTTATATAGCACATTTCATACACAATGGTAATTCAAAGTGCTTCACATAAAAGAAAAGAAAAAAAAAATCACAACAAAGGAGCAATGTCATCAATAACATTCTTAACTTTTGAGTTAAAGGAATCAAGGAGAAGATCGACAGAGTCTGCAGAAATGCTTGGTGTTAAAGATATAGCCTCCATAAATAGCACACTACTGTTTTCGTTAATGCATCTCTTTCTGACAGAGACAGATCTAGAATCAATATATAAAAAAAAATACAGGAGTGATCAGATAGTGCTACATCCTTAATAATGGATGAAATGTTTAGACCTCTACTGATGATTAAATCCATTTGGAGATAAGGCTAGGTAAATCTGGGTATCATCAGCATAGCAATTACCACAAACAAAAGAACCACAATTTGGTTCGTTCTCATTATTTGACTTCGTGGGAGCATATACAGGCTAAACAAGAGCGGTGCAAGAATTGAGCCTTGTGGGACTCCGCATGTCATGGACGTCCACTTAGACTTGTGCTCTCCTATACTCACATAATAACCTCTCCCTTCTAAGTATGACCTGAACCATTTGATT